AGGTGGGCAGTGATGGGTTGGTGAGGGTACCCAGGTGTGCAGATGCTCTCTATAGACTCCCTTTCAGACTCTATACCTGATCTCCACTTTCATGGCCTCTCTGACCAGCCCGTTAGGATGGGGATTTGCTCCAGGGGCTTTCTCAACCCTCATCCGCTGACCCCCGCAGAAACACGCACACCATTCCGGCAGCCGATTTGAGCTTTTTCATTTTTGAACACACGTTCTGTAAGGCCACAGCAGAGCTGGCTCAGGAAATAACCTCCTCCCACCTTTGCCATGTTCCCATGTTGTCGCTGGTGTTGTTGGCTCAGTGCCGTAGCACCTCTCCACGCTAAAGCCCCCTGGCAGTAGTGCCAAGGGGATTATTATTTTTTTTTTTTTGGCTCAGTTCCCCACTATTGTGCAATCTTCATCTGAGAGAACCGCAAAAAAACCCCACTGCTAGCTCGGTGTGTTGTGCCACACTCGCAGTGGGTCAGTGTTCAGTGTCTGTGCGGAGGGTATTTGCTATTTCTCACTTTCTAAGGGACACTTTCCATCGGAAACTATAGCGACGTAAAGTTCTCGATAGAATAATGTAAAGTAACGGGGGCAGTGCGATTCGCGACGACATCGCAAACAAATCGGGGCCAAGCCTGAGCTTATTCCCATTAAGCACAACTGCCTCCTGCATTTCAGTGTCTCCATTTGCCAGCTCTCGTGTTTGACCACAGCCCTCCCACAGCCTCGTTTCTCAGATTCAGCTACGCACAGACAGCTGTGATGCATCACGTATTGCTGGGTCTATTGACACATATATATATATATATGGTACCATGAAGCTGAGTCAACGACCCTTTCTTATTCCCTTCTTAACACAGGAGCTCGGCACCTTTGGATTCGAATGTACCCTTGAAGAGGTTGATCTTGAAGATATCACTAAGAATCAAATCAACACAATAAAAGCTTGCACATTCGAGGATCCAGGGGTAAACAAAATGAAAAAAAAAAAAAAAATCAAGTTTCAGCATCATTTTTTCATGGAACAGCCATCTAATTCACACTTCCACAAAATCACCGTGTCTCATTTCTTCTTTAATTTGCAGACTGGAAACTGCCCGGCCCTGGAAAGATCTACTTTTGATACGGTAAATTGCAAGTTTCCCAAAAGAACTCCTCCTTTTGCTGCTTGTACGTTTAAAGCATTTAACAACGGATTCCTGCGTTTCCTAATAATCCTGACTTTTGCAGGGTAAATGCCTGCAGGGCATCTATGAGGATCTGAGTGCCTACAGGGCAGCACTGAAGAACCTCAAAGATCAAAATGTGCTGACAACTATTGATGAAATGATGAAAGTAAGTATTTTGATCTCCTTCCTTCCTAATATTTCTGTCTTAAAACTGAGTTTTCAGTCCAGCGTGCTCTGTTCTGTAGTCAGTCAAAAAGTGACCTTTCCTCAACCTGGTAATTTAAAAAATTGCCTGTTACTGTTTTTCCTAGAAGATACTTGATTCTTACGAATTATGATGTATCTGGCTTCATATTTTTGCCTTGCTGATATGGTCAACACATCAGGATTGAGATGTCTGGCTCCTTAGCAGCCCTCCTTCTTTCACACCGCTCCACTTTCTCAAGGAGATGTGGTACAGGATTTTTCTACCAATTCCTACAGACCTGCTGAGAACCCAAAAACAGAGTAAAAGATAGAGTAAAAGGAACATAGCTCTATTTCTCTTCCAAATGCTGCAATATAATACACATGGTATACCGCACATGAAACAGGATGTATGAATTTTGATAAATATCATTAGTGAGTACAGGGAATAGCTGTTGAAAGCTTGCTTGTTTGTTTAACAAAAGCTAATTTTAAAAAAAATGTTAATGGCCTTTGTATTGACACAGCATCTCCTGACAGCCTCGAGATTTTGGCCAGGGGCAGATGAACCCACACTGAGGGGTCACTAGCCAAAGCTGCCTGTAGGCTTATTATTAAAAGAGCATCTTTATTCCTGGGCAGAAAGAGCCTTTGTGCACAAAGGGACATTTTTGTCTCAAGGAAAGTACAGCTGCGCATCTTATTAATTACATCATTAAATATAATTATCATCATAAATACAATAAATCATCACATTTTTCATTTATGAGAATACATTCTTATTTCTAAGACTTGTCACTTATCGCTCAGGAGGTGAAAAATCTAAAAAGCTGTTTTAGCCATTTTCTGGCGATAGTATTATTTTTTAATCTCTTTACCTCTTCCCAGGCCCTGAAGAGCAGCAGCAGGAGCGTGCCGCAGCCGGCGGCGGGGCTGACCTCCTTCCAGGAGAGGATGAGGCTGTGCAGCATCCTTCACGCCTTCCGCATCCGCACGGTCACCATCAACAGGATGATGAGCTACCTCACCTCTCCGGAGAGCTCCATGTGAGCGCCCAGCCCTCTGGCCTTTCGGGTGTAAATTGGACCTAAGGCTGTTTTGCAGAAAAAAAAAAAAAAAAAATTAGAGTCAATACCCTGCAAGGTGGTTGGAGGCTTTTTTAGGAACCGAGCGCATAGTGTTTCCCAGAGTTTCTTGTAAATCGTTTTTTAGTGAGCTGTTGTCAGTGCCTTTTAAGCTACCATGTTAAAACTTTTAAATTTCTAGAAAATAAGCTACATCGTAGTACCAAAACGTTCTCAAATCACCACTCAACTGTAATTTGTCTTAGCTGGTTTATTTATTCAGCTGTAATTTTCAGAAATTGAAACATATTTATAATAACCGATTTATTTATTATTATATTCCCTATTTATTCTATTTATTGTCTAATAAAGTTTGCGTAAAAATTGCAGTGACTTTTTTTCTTCTTCCTTTGAGATGTAATATGAATACTTTTAAAATACTTTGAATATCACTGGCGTGTAAGCAGTATAGCACAGTAACATTCAGCACTGGTATCTATGTTTAAACTCTGTTTCTTACTTACATCAGACGTGTTTCCTGGGGATTTTCTCTCGCATTGGGCACTCAAAGCAACTCACTGGGTTTCATCCTGGTTCACGGTGATTTTCCAGCCGGTTACAGTTTCCTGGGTGAAATCCTGGCCCCACCAGAATCAATGGTTAAATTGTTTCACTGAGGCAAGGATTTATGTAGAGCTTTGAAGGCGGGGAGGGATGCTGGGATGATTATCTTCCCAATTCCTGACCTGAGAGTGTAAACCAGCCAAGATGAAGGTGTCCATCCCCCCGTCATCAGGCCTGCCCTCGCCTGAGCAGTGACTTGGCTGCTGTTGACCATGTCCCACCAGCTCTCATGCTGCCTCCACTGCCCCTCATTGCCAGCACCGTGTTCTTCAGCTCTTGGTTTCTCCAAGCTCTGCCCTCCCATCTCTTTGGGGACCCCCCAAGCATCCCTCTTTGAAGCTGAGGGGCTGGTGGGACCCACTGCTCTTCCAGATGCCGAGGGGACAGCTGCCATCCTCCTCCTCTCCCCAAAGCGTTGGTGTTAACTCCACACCACACCAGCCTAGTCTTATATGTTCCCAGAGCTTTCTAACGAACCAGAGCCACGGTCCCTGCTCCCACAGACCACCCACGAGTCGTAAGGTTAAGAGCAACCTCGTGCCTCGATGTCCTTATACAACTGTAATGTTTTCACTCCTTTTGCTTGCAAGATCTGGACAAAGACCACAGAAATACATATTCTTTTTAAAAAAAAAAATAAAAGGTTCTTGACTTTGACGTAAAAGAACCCGAACGTTGAAGGTATCATCTCTTTTGGCCACCTGCCACGCTACTCAGTTGCCCCACTGATTACAAGGTCTTGTAAGATGCTTCTTTGTACTATAAAAGCCCCATCAGCAGAAGACCCCACGAGGTCCTGGGCTCCAACGCAGCCCTTCTCCTTGGCCACCCTCTGGGATGTACGTAGTGGTGGAGCATCAAGGGTTGGAACGACAGCCCACTACATACAACCACCTTGCAACATTTCATCCAATAGCTAAAATACAAAAACAAATCCAAAACTCATACGTAAATAGTGTAAATGTTTCCTTTTTAATTCTTATTTTTTAAAAGTATGCTTTTTCTTTCATAAACATACGCAGAGGAAGATGATCAAAAGAATCCTGTGTCTTTAAAAACAAGACAATCTCCTGTATCAGGTCATCGCTTTCTTCTGCAAATAACATTATTTCCAAATCTTTCCCATTTCTGTAGCACGTGCATGACCTTTGCAGAGATTTTGGCTTCTCCCATTTTTGTTTAAGCACCTAATTCTATTCAAGTTAAAATTAATCAAGTAAAAAAAAAAAAAAAGTATAAAAAAGTTCATAGTACAACAAAAAAATTATACAACATAAAAAATTATCTCAGAAAAATTGAGACAGACTAGGCAGAAAAGAGTGAAGAAGAAAATTCCCAGGGAAAATTCAAAGCTGCCTGGGGTGAATAGTGGTGCTCCCATAAAACCAGTCTTCGGGTTTTCAGAAAACAGAACCACAGCTTAACAAGGACTGAATGTACACGAGTATATACAGGAATTATGAATACATACAGTGATTATGCAAAGGACGTTATCTGCAAGTTTAGGATTATTCTTCCCTGATCTTGAGCATCTGTAAGAAATACAATGTACCTCATGATTCCGGCAGTTCGGTAATTTTTTTAAGGGGATGAAAGTTTCTGCGTTAACTTTTCTCCCTGTTTTTCCCTGATGTAAATAAAAACGTTTCCAGATAAAGATCATATACCTGACCAAGGTAAACTGGTTTCTCCCAGTGTTCCTGTCTTTTAGGACTGGCTCAAAGCCGGGTGACAGTGTTGGGTTTCCCCGGCCGTGAAGCCCGGCATTCCCGGCCGCGACGCCGGGATCCACCGCGCGAGGAATCGCTCCTGAAAGTCTAATGTGCACAAAATTCCATTCACATTTCTTGCTAAGCTCTGGCCTAAACTTTCCACTGAGGGATGATGCCTTGCATCTTCCTTCCCAAATCTCGGCGGGATCCCGGGGAAGCGGCCGGAGAAGCTCCCACCGTACTCCTTCTAGCTGCACTGAGCCGAGAAACCTGAGGAAAGGAACAAACACACACGGATTATCTGATCTCTACGAGTTACTGCAATATTGAAGTTGAATAATAAACGTATTAAACCCCCAAATAATTAAAAACCCCATGAGGGTCAGGCCAGCAAAGCAGCATGAGCAGCTCTCCACTCTTTGAAGCCAGGTCGCTTTGAGGGAGAACTAAAGAAAGAAGACAGTTTTGCCTGTTCCAGAAAAAAAAAAATATTTAGTTTTTTGATAAAGGTTCCCCTTGGCTGGCTGAGTTCTCAGCCCATGGAACGACTTTGGTTTGCACCAAGACATAAGGAGCCCCCCAGAAACCATGGGAGCATCCATGGGCAGTGAGGAAATACACGCACACACAGGTCTGCAGGACCGAACCGCTACGTCATCCATCAGGAGAAGGCGTTAATTAACCCTTCCTAAAAAAAAAAAAAAAGAGTAAAGACTCAACCATCTCTTCTTTGGACTTCCTGAGAAAAACCAAGAATCGGTTTGGGTAAATAACGTGACAGCTGGGTCATGCTGAGAGCACTCTCAACACAGCCAGTGCAAAAATATTCTTATTTTTCTTTATATTTATATTTTATTCTTTTTTATATCCTTTTCTGAAGGGAAGTATAAGAACGCCACAAGAAAGTCATTGCTAATATCAGGTGGGAGATGATTTTGACCTACGTAGAAAAACACGTACTAGGTGCTTGGTAAGCTCTCTGATGTGAATTCTTCAAATATAGCTGAAACACCGTGATGTAATTAAATAAATACAACGGGAAGGTGATACCTTGTAGGGCTTGCAGGATCTCATAGGATGCTTTTTCATGGAGGCTTCTGTACAAAGCTTCTGCCGTTCCGTTGCCTTGTTCTTTGTCTCTCCACTTGCTTAACACCAGAAATTTTTGCATGTTAACCTCTTCCTCGGCTGCCCGGATCTGCTCAATGTCTTTCATTTCCATCTGAAGACACTCGATGGCAATTTCTCGCCACTGCCTCCCAAACAACTTCGCGATCACCATCAGCTGTTGGTCGGTTAACTTTTTTGTTTCGGCTCCGTCTGAAAAAACACAGAACGAAACTCAGATTTGACATTGCTCTTCTTGTTAAATTCATAACTAAATGACAGAGAAGCTGTGGATGCCCCATCCCTGGCAGTGTTCAAGGCCTGGTTGGATGAGGCTTTGGGCAACCTGGTGTAGTGGAGGGTGTCCCTGCCCATGGCAGGGGGGTTGGAAGGAGATGATCTTTGAGGTCCCTTCCAACCCAAACCATTCTATGATTCTATGACACTTAGCTCTGCGCCTGGCCAGGGGACCTACAATGAAGGTGACCTTATTACTCCGATTATTCAGCAAGGTCAGAGCCAAGCGCTGGAGAAAAGCACGTGAAGGACTAAGCAGCCCACGGAGATTTTGAGATGCTCAACGTTAAGGCCATGCCAAGCACTCGCTCTCTCCCAGTGAGTTCCGATGCCTGCTGTTCTCAAAACCCACTGCTGCCCCAGAAGGGTGATGTTGGTTTTTCCTTTAATTACGATGGCTCCGAAGTCTTGGCTGGTATGGTTCCATGGAGGAATAGAGCCGTTTTCCTCCTCGGTGTCACCAATTCCACATCAAACGGAGGTTTTGAGGGACAGAAGCCCTCCCTTTGGTGGCTATACACACCCAAACCCCTACCTGGCTACTTCTGCTGATTTTTTTTCCATTTATTTATTAGACTTTATGGGACTAATTACTGGACATTATTTCTTCTATAATTTTTCCAAGTAACTATCAGTAAATGAGTAGTTTCTAGGTGGCAGCTCCCAGTCACTAAGCATTTCTGACCATCACGACATCACATGTTAACAATAAACAGAAGTTATTTTTCTTTTTTTTTTTTTTTTCCCCAGAAAAACTGAGCCTGTTACGGCTCAGGAGATATCCCAAACGCAAAACCTGAGACATGTAGCAGAAGCCTCTTTTAAAAACAGCCACTCAAAGCAGTCTTAGAAGACAATACCATTTCAGCTGACCCTTATAAAGCAAATTTCCTAGTGGTTTCTCTCCCTTTACTCACTGAACGAACAACCAAAGCATACAAACGTCACTACAAATTCTGCACCTACAAAAGCAGTGTTTTCCCCTCCTATATTTCATGTTCAGATTCGCAGAAGTCTTTAAAAAAGTGAGCTCACGGGATATTAAAAAAAAAAAACACCCACAACCCAAACCTGTTATTTTCTATGACACGGAAATTCTCTACCTGCAGTACTGTTGGTCTTTTGCTTTTTGCTACAGAGCTCGTCTTCTTCCAAAATGCTGAGGGTTGGCTTCCGTTTTTTGACACCTAAGAAGGAAGCGAGAGGTGATGCCACATCTCTCCCATCACTTGAGCGACAACAGCTGGTGAGGTATGAGGAAAACACGCGACCCCGACTGATCTTCAAATGGACTTACTGCCTGCGCTTCTTTTCTGCTCGTTTTTGTTCTGGTCGTAATGTATCCAGTCACCTGGCAAACAGTTTTCAGAGGAAACAAAAGGTGAGGTCGCAATTCCCATGGCTATGCCCTAAATCCAACAGTTCTCAGGCACAAACCCAAGCTGCTGGCTGGATTCTGGCTGCTGAGCTGAGATTTTATAGAATGAGATGATTTTTTCCCCTTTTGCCCAACGTGCCGCAGCACGCAATAGGGATTGCCTGGTATTCCCAGTAAGTACAACCGAAGCGGAGCATCCCAAAGCCTTCTACCCGTTTGCTCCCGAGGTTACCTCCCAGGCCTCATCTTTGTGTTTTATCACTTCCAGCTCCAAACCTCACCGTTTTCCCAGCAGGGATTTCAGCACGTCTAAGGGCTGAATTGGACCCCGAGTCCTGCACCTTTTCGGGAGGAACAAAGGGCTGGAAGGACCAAGGACTCACTCTCTCTTAGTTTTGCTTTCCAGACGGTCGCGTCGGACTCCAGCTCAACCAAAGACAAGGTGAAGTCATCAGGTTTCTCCAAATAGACTTCGATGTAACTTTTAAGTTTCAAGAGAGAGCCGTCAACAAATTCAATTTCCTATACAACATAAACGTGTTAAAAATAAACATTTATCCAAAACATAAACTAAAGAGGGGGTATTTGGCTGCTGACACGGATTTGAGCCCAGCTCTAATCTCCCCAGACTTCTGCTGTTGACTTTAGCCTCAGGATTTCATCCCAAAATTTTAGGGCTCTAAGAGGCAAATGCTTTCTGCAGCGATGGCAAACGAACGTGAAAAATTCAGGTGCAGGAACATACAGGAAAAGCTATTTTGTACCATGTCTCTAATCGAGCTGCGATGCACGAAATGAGGGCTGTACAAGAGACTTACCTCGGGAGTTATTTCAGCTTCTGGCTCACAAACTAATCTATATCTCTTTCCTTTCTGTAGTAATTTTTGGCATACAGGGGGCTTGTCGATTTTAATGAATTTCTTATTTGAATGTTTTACGGCTCTTGAGATATCCTAAAATTCAAAAATACGATTTAAACGTTACTCCCCTCAGGAAAGGAATTAACATTTAAAACCTGGGGCCCCTGGGGCTTTTCTCTGTCTGTGAAACAGCCACGACCTGTTCCATGTGGCAAACTTCACAGAAAGCTGTGCACAAAACACTATTCTCAAAAAATCTCAAATAAACGTTTTCAGCTATCGTGCTACGTGGGTGAAATGAGACAGAAGAGTTTGCAACCCCAATAAAAAAATGGTTATTTGCTGCTGTCCTGCCCTAGTATTTGCAGAGGTATCGTAGCTGGGAAGGGCTGAGAGCACAAGAAGCTCTTTCAGGTATAAATCCTCAGCTCCGTGGATTTTGGTGGCAAACAGGTTTCTGATGTATTTCTTTTCTATAGCAGCTCGTGAGCAAGCGTGTGGGCTGGTATAATTCCTTAAATATATCATATCATATCCTTGGCAGACCTTTTTGGTATGGAAGTCTCATTTTTTATATATATATGTGTGTGTGTGTATATATATATACAGACGAACATACATATACACATGTGTGTATATATTTTATATTACATATATCATTTTTTACATATATATATACACACACACGTATATATTTTATGTTATGTGTATCATTTTAAATATATATATAGACACACACACACATATATACATATCTCCAGAGCTTTGCATGCAAACACTGGGGTGAGAGAAGATCATCTCTTCACCGTACCCCATCCTGACCATAACATCCCCGTAACCAACCCTGCCGCTATTTCCTGCCACCCCACCCCACCAACACGAGCCAAACCTTTATAAAGGAGTCGTTGTTTGTAGCCACGTAGACCCGAAAAGATAAAGAGGGATGCTCGTCGACGACTTTGTAGAGGACGACGGCGCCGTGGTAGTGCACGGGCTCCTGGCTCTGGATGAGCGGTCCCACCGGCGACAGCGCCCCCCCCAGCCACTTCACGTGCGAGGCCGAGTAGTCGGCGGAGGGCTCGATGGCTGCACCCTCGCCTTTGATGTGCAGGACCTTGAAGGCCATGCCGGTGTCATGATCTGCAGGAAAACGGAGCCGGCTCAGCGCCTCCCGCGCCGCGGAGCCGGCAGCCACCCCCTTGGCCAGCACTCACCACCGAGGCAGAGGGAATGGGGAAACTGGATGGAGGTGAGAGCGGAGGTCGAGTCACAGCGCACGTCGAAGAGGGGGCCGCCCACGATCCATGGCTTTTCCACGAGGTTGGCGTATTTGCTCCAGGATAAGAGGGAATACGTGATTTTGACAGCCCTTGTTACTTCAAAAATCAAGCCCGTAAAGCTGCACTGGTAAGTCCCCTCGGCGTCCAGTTGCACCCTGCCGTGGGCAAGAACCATCCGGTTAGTTTAGCTCCCACCACCTCCCATAAAAATGTGGTTTGCACGGAATAACAGAAAAACTCCCTTCCCAACAAGTGCAGAACACTTTATCTGAATAGCACAGAAGCAACAATTTTTTTTTCTCCAGTCTCTATGTTTAAACCATCACTGGAGTGCCAAAAACGAGCTGGGAGGACCCCACCAGCACAGGCAAAATAGCTGTGATGAACATTTTGCATAACGTTTCCTGCAAACGAAGCAGCTGCTTTTACACGAAGGGCTCAGCCCAGCTCCCGTCGGGGCCAGCATCATACACTGACAACGTCCACATCATACACCAACATCACACACCGGTGACAGCTTCCAGGCCAGAAAGAGGGAGCACAAGGCTGGTGTCCAATGAAAAACGCAAGGTCAGCACAAATGCAGAGGATGAGTATTCCCAGGAAGCAGAGCAAGACCCTTCATGTGTGCCCAGACTAAGAAAAAAACCATATAAAAATGTGCCTGGTGTTAATTAGTGCAGCGAGACGAGGCAAGCAGGAAGCCGTCCTAAGAGCTTTCTTGGACCAGGACCTGCAGGCAGCACAGGCAGCTGCTTTAAATTGTTTATTTTTAAGGATTTGGAGGCATCTTCCATTATAACTCCAAATGTATTTGTGCAGCAAATTAGTCTTTTCCCCACTTAAACGGAAAAGAGAAGTACCTTGATGAGACAATATAAATGTATACCCATTATATTAAAAAAAACATACACGTGTTGTCCTCCAGAAAGTCTCCTTGGGGTCACTAGTTCCTTATGGTCCTATAAATAGATTTTTTAAAAAAAACAAACATATTTTAAAAGGCGACGAGAGAGTAGAATTACAATTTGCAGATTATCTCATGCAAAATACGTGGGTTGGGTTGTGGGGTTGTTGTTTTTTTTAATAAACATACATTTTCATTTCTGCAGTGCTCACAGAGGGGCAGACCGTTCACTCCTGGTGAGAAAACAGGAAGATCAGCTCAGTAAAAGCAAAGTAATTAAATGCTCCAAAAAAAACCAACCTAACAACAACCCTCAAGAGATCTGTTACTACCTGATTCATCGCAGAGCGGCAGCAATTCCTTCTCCTCTGGCTCTTCATCTGCAAAAAAGAAGTTTGCAGCAAACACCTCAGCCTCCAGCAAGTTTCTGTTCCCATATTCAGCAAGGACAACCCACCAGTTGAATTTGCTTACAATAAAAAAATACCTAAGGAGAATATTTCCTAAGACTAAGTCCTTGCCCGCCCGCTTGCCCGCCTGGCTTCGCGCAGCGCGGCGATGAAGCCGGACGTCAGGACGCAACATTTGTCAAGTCTCACCACTTGCCCAAACTCCTGGAAATTTTCACAGGTGTTAAGAAAAAAAAAAAATAAACATTGGTCCCCAGGACGAAGCACCGAGCGCCAAGGACAAAGTTCACCCACCTGGCACGGAAGCTGGCAACCATGAGCAGGTGACCACACTCTTTGCAGTGTATTTGTCCCTAAACTGATTTAAAAGTGCCCGAATCCTCCTTGCTGACCCCCAACACAACAGAAAGCGAGCAGAGACGCCACGTCAGGCGGAAAGTTTTTAGCCCCAAGGGTGGGTTTTGCAGAAGCTGAGCTGTTGTGACAAGGTGTGCGGAAGGATGGGGGTGGGCACGGGCGCTGTGCCGCTCGCTCCTGCTCCTCGTCCCTCCAACACCCCCTCCCCGCAAGCAGGGACTCCAGCCAGCCTGGCCCAAAGTCACCCCGGGCCATCAACACCCTCCTTGGCTCGCAGAGACGTGGGAAGAGGCGGAACACACACGGCTGCAGCGAA